TGTGTCTTTGCTGTGTGTACAGAAATTTACCTGCAGCTCTGTTTCTTATTAGAGTCCCTGGCTGCTTCATGCAGGTGAATCATTCATGAGAGCTGTGAGGTGGAGCAGTAAGCCTGCACAGCCTGGTGACATGTAGCTGAGATAGCACAGACACGCAAAAGGAGGCAAGAAACAGCAAGAGAACAGTCTGCAGAGCTCTCTTCCATCTCAGAGTTATTTGAACCTGTGTCAAATAGGAAGAGGGGAGCATAGAAGACAGAGCGAACGTGGTGGTAAGCTAAATAAAGGTCATGTGCTAAAAGAATTCAGGTGGAATTTTTGTCCTGGAAGAGACGTTTTCAAAGCCAGCTGACTTGTTGAGGACAGCAACAGGAGCTCCTGACATAAATAGCTTTTCCCTCTCGGCTGTCTGTTGGTGGCCCATGACTTCTAACTGCACTGAGACTCTGCCACTCAACAGGTGTGTCCCAATTACACAAATAAGTGCAGTTGGTCCCTGTGTTAGCCACCCCTGCCACAGGGCCAAGGTTGAAAGTGGGGCTTAGCCACTGTGACCTGTTTGTTCCTCTGTATGACCCTTCCAGTCAGGCCTGAGGCAGGCGGTGACAGCTTTTATGCAGACAGCAGATTTTGCCCACAGAAGAGATTTGGTCTCAGCAGGTCTCTGCAGACTCGTATTTCCAGATGAGCTCTTCAGCACCTAAAATGTAGCAAAATGTGAAGAACCTTGGTGGGTTAGGATGCCCCATGCAGCTGGGAAAATATACAATATGACATGTTGGTGTTATCTTCTGTAACATGGTATGTGTTGTTGCAGGCACCATTGTTTTGGCACATGCTGAAATTGTAGATGGCCAGTAGAAATGTCCTCGGGATGCAGTAAAGCACAGAAGCTCTTGCTATTGCAGAAATACCATTTCTGGTGGCAAAGGACCTTCACTGGGGAGGGGATCATTGAAGGACAAAAACTGTTGGAGGTGAAGCTTTAGGAGGAGATGTGCTTCGTCTCTGGCTGAGTGATTCTTTCATTGCTTTCTTTTGGGGCCCAGGCCAGCAACTGCCATGGTGGCTGAGGTCACCTGGGTCAGTGGTGCTGTAGGGGGATAGTCCTGGTCTCTCACTTCAGCAGCTGGGAAGTGGGGTCCAGAAGGAATATTACATTTCTTTTGGTAAGTCTGCCAAGAAAGAGGAAATCCATAATTTGAGCAAAATACTTTAACTTTTTTTTTTGTAGGATGGGGTGAGGTAGGAAGGGGGAAATGAAAATTCCTTTATAATGGTTTGCTTGGGATGGCTTTTATCCTCGAACTCTCTGTCAGGCAGTAAGAAATGTTCGGCTTCTCTTTGTTAGTATAACAAAGTCTTTGTAAACGGAGCTTCTGTCAGGAGTGCATGCAACTGGACGCATGCATTAACTCAGGTCATATATTGCACTGTATGGTTTGGAATCCTGATGGAGTGCTTTTTGGATTAATTAGCTACTTACAAAGACAGCCTTGGATGTTCTGGATCATGTAACTTTGTCAGCTGTTGACAATTGTGACACCCTGGCAAAGGTGGTAAAATGATGGACTCTGGGCTTTAAGAACATTTTGCCTGAATTTCACTGAGTTTTCACACTCAGTGTTCTCTGGTTCCTTCATCCTCTGCTTCCTGTCATCCTTCTAGGATGTTGGGCTGTACTTCAGTTGCTTTCTGATGCAGGGCTGTGTAGGTCCTGGTAGAAATAGCAGTCTTTCCTCAGTGAGTCAGCCTTCAGCAGTCTTGAAGTTCACTGTTGGGTGGCTTCTCTGAGAACATGAATGCCAAGATCTTGATTTCACAGAGTGCTTAAGCATATACTGAATTTAAAGCACGTGGCTTAGTATTTTGCTGCATTGAATACTAAGAAAAGTCAAGGTATTCATTAGCTGGTGGATAGTGATCCCATTACAGCGTTTTACGTGGCATTTGTCTTCAAAAGGTGAGTTAGTCTCCTGAATCAACTTGCTGAAGTGAGAGGTACTTCATTAAGTCAACCACTCAGTGTAGATGTGTGATGTCTGTTGATTGTCTCAGGTCATCATGGGACAATTCTTAGATTTGCATGTACAGAAAATGTGTTAATCATGATTGAAGCAAACTAGTCTTTGTAGGGGAGAAAAAGATCTTTTTTATCAAATGATTAAGTTTATACGGAGACGCCCTTTTTAACTTTAAGATTTGAGAACTGCTCTCATGCATTACAGTGATGATCATCACGTTTTTTGATGTATTCTGGGAATTGCTCTGGGAGGTGCTATTGAGGAAGCAAATCAAATTATCAAATTATATCTCAGCATTTGGTTCCATCACTGGGCTTGATTTGAACTCTCTTCTGGAATAGGACATCAAATGTCTCTGACCAACACTTGAAAATCATTGCAGTTCAGTATCTGCTGCCCTGGTATTGGCAAAGTGGGGAGTGTGTCAGTCCAATTTCTACATCTCCTTTCTCATGGCCTCCATATGTTCTGTCCCTCCTTGCCTCTGTTTTGAATAAATAAAACGTCTGGCAAATAAAAGCTAGATGCTTCTAAGACGTTTAAATTAGCTGGATCCAGAATTGCTATATGGAGGAGGCAGGCTGCATGAATAATATATCTATTAACAGTAAAACAAACAAAAAACCCAAGCCAAACAAAACCCCACCAGACCTCCCCTGTAAAGGCCTCCTCACCCAACCCTTGCCACTTCCATCAGGAACTGTAGATTTGCATGAAAGAATGAGGTGTCTGTTACAGGAGTAACTGCAGTAACGAACTGGTGCTGTGGGCCAAGGCAATGTGTGACTCTCTTCTGAATCTCCTCTTTTAGCAGCAGAAGGATCAAGGCCTACCCCCCACCCCCTGCCCCGAACTAGAGGAGTGACCAGCAGTGTAAGATGGACGCTACTTTTTGACCTTGGATTCACCTTTTTTTGAGCCTTGGAAATTACATCTAGTCTTAGTAGGGTTTGTGCGTTGAGCTCAGGATGTCTGCTTGGGCCAGCATGTGTTGGGAGGGGGTGGTAGTGTGAGTGCGTTTTCCATCACTGTACAAGCTGGTGACTTAAAATCTGTATGTGGGGAGAACTTAACTGGGGGTTGAGTGTGGGGAGTAGAAGTGTTTTGGAGTAATGAATGGAATTGGATGTAGGCAGAGAGCCTGAAGTCTGTCTGGGAGAGTAATAAGCAATGAGGAGGCTGCTGGACCTGACCTGACTCTTTCAGTGCTGTGCATTCCTCATCTCAGACACTCTCTGGCCCCACAAGCTCCTGGAAGTGCTCTCTTTAAAAAAGGAATTCCTCTTCTTGCAGCCTAGCCTTTCTTGCATAAAACTCTAGTTTTACGATTTTTTTTTTTAAGGGTTAGGAGAAGTGAAGAGCTCGGAGCTTCCTAAATTCAGTTTTATTTGGTGTGGCTCTACTGGTCATAAACTTATAGTTGCAAAGCTTTCTAGGAGTCGAAAAGCTTTTCTGTATGTGGTTTGTTTTTGTTTAAAATGGGTCACATGCCCAGGAATGCAGTCAAATTATAATGGTGACTAAGTGCCGGAAAGCATAGAAAAGAGGAGGAAAGGGTAAGCAGAAAAAAAGGAGCCTGAGGCTATGGAAGAAAGGCTGGGAAAATGAGAATCTGGCCAGGCCCCAGGGCCAGGTTAGAGATTCCTACACCCATTAACAACCACAGGAGATGTTTATTTACAGGAAGCTAATATTTACTTTAAAAATGACAGAGTACCCAAAAATCCCACTTTTGGGAAGTGAGTTGGGGGCACAGTAGCGATGGGAGGAGAGAACTGGTTCTGATCAGGCACTAGTCTCCATCTCTTGAGAATCTTTCCTTCGTCCTATGCATCTGGGAACACTGGCCGTTGAGAAGTGCATGAAAGGGGGATAAACCTTTGTAATCTAGTATGTGGTTCACAATCCCTAGTTGCAAAAGGTAGCCTCAAGAGTTTCTTCTCGTTTATATTTTTCTGGTATTTTCTACCTAAGCAGCTCCAGCAAAGATAATGAATAATTAAGTTCATGATATGAGAAAGATGGGATCTAAACTTGTCTTTTTCCTCCCTCTTTAATCAACCTTGGATCATGAAAGCAAAACAGATGTTGAACAGCTGCTTGAACTGGGTATGTTCATGTAGACTCTAAAGAGACCTTGGTCCCAGGTCTCTGTGGTACTTACCTTTTGTCACCTCTTGAGCTATGTTGATCTTGGCTTGTGTCAGCTTGTCCCAATAGCTTTGATTTGTATCCCAGCAACTGCTTTTGAACCACAGTCTCTCTTTTAGTAACTTTGACTGTAAGTAGAGAATTTTCCAGCAATGTGGTGGAATTCCCTAACCTTTGGTGAGTGGCTGCAAAAGAGGGTCCATCTTGGGGCATGTGTGCATTGGGTGGTTATACAGATGAATGAATTTTATTTTTAATCTGAAGGTATCTTGATTTCTAATTATTGTATCTCTATGTGATTGTCAGTCAGGTGAAGGTCTGGAGCAGTTTCTCTACTTGTCTTCTAGCTAGACGCACTCTTCTGGTTTCAGTGTTCTCCTGACTAGTGTTTCCTCCATCTGTTCGTGTATGGTGTTGTCCTTATCTTAAATGACTTTCTTTAGTCTTTATTAGAAGATGATGTCCTTTTTCTCTGATCGTTCTGGTAATTTCTTTCTGAGTCATCTTATTTTGATTGCATTTTGTCTGAACTTGTGTTGCATTCAGTATACTATGTCAGGCCTTGATCAGATTTAAGGCTTGTACACTAGTTATCATCAGGGATGGCTTTCTTTGCTGATAAGCACCCATTCTGCTCAGTGTTCCTTTCTTGTCAGCTCTCAGGAGTGCGCTTGCTCTAGTGTGGCTCAGGCACCATCAATGTTTGCCAGTTCCATCATTTGTGGAACCAGAATGAGAGTATACCTGTGACCAGCCTGAGTGTATTTGTTGTCAGTATAGCATCAGTCCTGGTTGCTAATCTCATCTTTTGTCCTTTGTCTGCAGAGCAGCTGGTGTTCCAGTGAAGGAAAGGGTGAAAATATCTCAGAACTGGAAGCACGGACGCTGCCAGAGGGAGACAGTCCTGAAATGGAAATGCAAGCAAGTGGCTCCTTTCTCTTCTACTTTGTTCTGTGACAGCTGCTGCAGGGCCTTGGGTTTGCATCTGTGCCCTGAAATGAGATGTTTCCAGCTCCTTGTGATCCACGGGGTCTGATGTCGCTGGCCTGTTTTGGATGTTGCTGGCTAGCTGAATGTGGGGTAACTGGAGTTGCTGTCTTGCCCTAGAAACACGCTCTGAGAGTCAAGAACTCCTCTCTTAGTAAGAGCTTGAATTTGGCACTAATTCTGATCTGTGCAGTTCTAGTTGGATTTAGCAATCTTTGCTACAGGCTTCAAACTGTTACATTCCTATCTATTGCTTTATACCATGAGCAGTTTTCTGTGCTGCTCTCACAATGAGCATGTCTTGATCCAAGATGTGGGCTTATGTGTTCCCTCAGAATGCTTGGTTTGTCTTCTGTGCTTTCTCCTGACCCCTGATTTGGATGTACAAATCTAGAATGCCAATTGCCATTCTGCTACCTTACACTTCCCTCCTTCACTAAAAAAAAAAATCATATTTGACATTAATGAGAGGAGATTGTTGTTAAATCCTTGCTTGCGAAGGGGTGTATTCAGCTTTCAAAGCAAAGCATGAGATAGGTCTTGTCTGAACAGCACATCTGAATTTTCAGCCTTCGCATCATCAGATAGAAGGAGAAATGAGAAAGACTATGATTTGTTAGATGCTGAAGAACAGGGACCTGCTACTGAGCTTTCATGCCTTTTTGTGCTGTGTAGATTGAAGCGATGGATAATGTGCCACTGCTTGTCTAAAGTTCTGGGAACAGCTGTAAAGAGCAGAGTGGTTTTTGGTGCAGGTTGTATACCTGCCTTTGAAGTGCCTGAAACCATCTGTGAAGATGGGCTCTGTGGATGTTAGAGATCATTACTAAACCAGCTTCCCAAGTGAAAAGGCAAGGACTGAATTAATGAGGCTGCCATCCAAACTGCATCCTCTAATTTTCATTTATCCTGCTTCAAATGTGTTACTTCTCCTTATGAAAAAGCCATAGAAAAACGTAAAAAGCTAAACTGCAGCAGGAGGACAGCCACAGAAACTGGCTGTAGTCTAGGTAAGCTGGATATTCACTTGCTTTTAGAGGACTGCGTAGGAGTTGGAGGAAGGAAGGGGAAATCAAAGTCCACCTAAAACCAGAGCTGGTGCTCTAAAGGTGCCTCTTATTTTTTCCATGCATATGATCAAGTCCCAAATGAACATTATAACCTATGCTCAACTGCTTTGTGTGACTAAAAGCCTGTTATTGGAGATGAATGCAGGCAAGCAGGAACCTTCTATCTAATAAGCAATCTTCTGCTCTTGCTTGTTTCTAGTCCCTCGTTGTGATGTTATGAGGTGCAGCTGTGCATGATGGCTCTTCTAACGCAGAAAATCATGGCCTCTGAGAATGAATGATCTGCAAAAAAGAGGGAGACAGGTTTTAATGAGAAGCCTCCCTACTTTCAAAATAGTTTATTCCTGAGTAGTTTGAAAACTGAAAGGCTGCTCTATGGAAAGGCTCTGGTTTTGCTCAATGTTTGCATAGGTATTGATGCACTCAGCAGTGACTGCAGAGTGGAGAGAATTTTATGCATCCATGCCCCATAGGATGAAAGCCCCATGTCTCTTTGTATCTGGCCTTGCTGTATCCAGAAGGCCTATTTGCTGATTCTCTGGTGGCTACACAAAAGCAAGATCTTGAGCAGAGCTCACTGCCTAAATGTGCATTGTAGCCTGTTCTATTTTCTGTATTTTGGTTTTGTTTCAGGAGTAAACAAACTTCTTGTGATGACAGACTTGATTCAGACATTGCTTGAGTGTCTCCTCCTCTTGGTCTCCCAGGCTGTGAAGCATATTTTCCACTTCAGTCTTCAAAATACTTTGGAACAGCTCCTTTAGTACTCCACTGCTCTTGGCCTGGAACCTGTCTGTGGGAAGCTGCCACTGTCCTGTAAATAGCAAGGGGCAGATAGAGGGTATGGGCAACA